TAGACCAAGTTCCGTATCCCCCAGGGCCCAACACAAGGGTAAAGGGCATAAAGGGAAAAAATAAAAAATACCATTAGGGAAATATAAAAAACGGAATCACACTAAAATATGGGAGCCCCCGATACTCCCCCTATTCCCCTGTTACCCTAACCCTTTTCTTTTTTCCCATATGCAGGTTTCACTCCACCCATTTGCCCTATGGCCCCAGGAAGGGGAAAAAACATTAAAACCAAACTTTCATTGCGTCCCTACTTTAACTTTCCCCCCGGGCAAAATCGTTGACCCCTTTTTTCTCCCGGGGAACCCCCTATGAAAGACGAACCCCACCCTGAAACTTGTCCCTTTACCCTCAAACCCAAATAACCCCTGATTTCACTTTTACTTTGTCAGGGCGGAAAGACTCTGCGCTATCTTTCCGCCACATTTCAAATACTGCATCTCAAAAAGGGCCAAATTTAAGGGTCCTTCACACCAATGTTTTTTTTAGTTTTTTCAAAAAAAAGAAACCACTAACCCTTAATTTTTAAAATGGTTTTTTTTATGGCACCTGTTCCCCTTTACTATGCTTTTTTTTTAACTTCTGCTTTTTTGGAAAGGGGAGGGGACTTTTTTAAAAACAAAAAAGCAGCACTTTTTCCCACCAATAAATTCAATGGAGAAGCTCTTTAAATACAGGAAATGCCCTTTTTTTCCACGTTTTTGCATTTTAATTTTGCCCATAAAAAAAAAAATTCCCCTTTAAAAAAAAAAAAAGAGCTGAACAAAGTAGCGGGGAAAAAAGGGGTGTAGAAAAAACGCAAAGCCAAAAATGCAAAAAAAACATCAAATTTTCAAAAATGCATATAAAGTGAAACAAGCCCAAAAAATGGGATTTTCCAAAATTTTTCAAAATTCCCATTCCCAAAAAAAAAAAAAAAATTTCTGCTTACCTTTGAAGTGCTTTTTTTTCTTCCAAAACCCTTTTTTTTCGCCACTGATGAATGGCAAATGTCAGCGGTGTTGAGTTTTACACAGACACACCCGGCTGCTACAGGAGACGGAAAACTTATAACATTTTAAATCCTTGGGGCTGCAACCAAAATAGTTTACAAAAAATGGCCACTGCCCCCGTCTATAACTGGCCCCTTTATTTTTTCAAGGAACACAAGGAAAGGGCGACGCATGTCCCAAAAACCAAAAAAAGAAAAGTTTCCCCCGCTAAACTTTCCCCGCCAGCCTGCAAAAAAACCGAATTTTAACCCGTCTAACAGTATGCGATAACAGTGGATAAAGTGAATGCAAGGCCAGGGAGAGGGGGGATATAGTGAATTCGGGGCCGGGGGAGGCAGAAAAAGTGAATTTTCCCCGGGGCCGGGGAGAGTTTAATTAGTGATCAGGGTTTCCCGGGAGACCAAAATAAAGGAATGCAGGGGCCAGGGGGAGCGGATATAGTGCATTCAAGGGGCCCGGGGGGGGGGGATAAAAGTTAATGCCCCGGGTCCCGGGGGGACAAAATATAAATGAATTTCAGGGTCCTGGGAGGCGGAAAAAGTGAATTGAAAAGGGGCCGGGGGGAGCCCGGGTATAGTGAATGCAGGGTCCGGGGGGAGCGGGTATAGGAATGCAAAAACGCCTGGGGGAACCCGGGTATAGTTTAATGCGTTTGGGCCGGGGAGAGGGGGTATTGGGGAATGCGGGGGCCGGGGAAAGGGTAAGTTTAATGCGGGGTCCGGGGGGGACCCAAAATTTGTGAAGCGGGGGCTAAGGGGAAAACCAAAATTTAGGAATGCAGGGTCCCGGGGGGGCAGATATATTTAATGCAGGTTCGGGGGGAGCAATAAAGTGAAAGCAAAGGCCTTTGGGGGAAACCCGATTAAAAAGTGAATGCAGGGGCCCGGGAGACCAGATATAGTGAAAATGCAGGGTCCGGGGGAGCAGATATAGTGAATGCAGGGTTTTGGGGAAGGGGAAAATAGGGAATGCGGGGGGCCTTTGGGGACCAGATTTTAGTTAATGGGAGGGTCCGGGAGAGCAATATCGTGAATGCAGGGTCCGGGGAGAGGGGATATAGTGAAGTGCGGGGTCTCGGGTGAGACGGGATCTAGTGATATGCCGGTGGTCCGGGGAGACCTGTATATAGTGAAATGCGGGGTCTAAGGAGACCCAATGTAGTGAATGCAGGGTGGGGGAGAGAATAGATATAGTGGAATGCAGAAGTTCAGCCGCCGCTGCTCGCTCGCTATATAGTGAATGCGAAGGTCCTGGGATGACCAGATATATGTGAAAAGCAGGGTCCAGCGGAGACCAGATATAGTTGAATGCATGGTCGGGGTGAGAGCGGATATAGTGAATGCATTGGTCCGGGGAGAAGAGCGGGGATATAGTGAATGCAGGGTCCTGACATTATATGAGCAGGAAATAGTGAATGAAGGGTCCGGGAGAGCGATATAGTTGAATGCAGGGTCCCGGGGAGAGTAGGATATAGTGAATGCAGAGTCCCGGGTCGCGAGCACGGATATAGTGAATGGGTGGTCCAGGGGTGAGATGGGATATTCTGGGGGAATGATATATGGGTCCGGGGAGAGGGGATATAGTGAAGAGCGGGGCGTAGAGGGGTCCACGGGAGAACCGGATATAGTGAATGCGGGTGTCCGATATATGAATGGGGAGGACCGATAATAGTGAATGCGGGGTCTTGGGGAGAACAAAAAATGTAGTGAATGCAGGGTTGCCGGGAGAAGCCAGATATAGTGGAAATGCAGTGTTCGGGGAGAGAGCAGATATAGTGAATGCAAGGTCCTGGGGAGACCAGATAATAGTGCCCAAAATGCAGGGTCCTGGGAGAGCAGATATAGTGAAATGCAAGGGTCCGGGGAGACGCAGATATAGTGAATGCAGGTTCGGGAGAGAGCAAGATATATGAATGCAGGGTCCGGGGAGAGCAGAATATAGTGAATGCAGGTCCTGGGTAGGACCAGATAGTGAATGCAGGGTCCGGGGAGAGCAGATATAGTGAATGCACGGGTCCGGGGAGAGCGGATATAGTGAATGCAGGGTCCGGGGAGACCAGGATATAGTGAATGCAGGGTTCATGGAGACCGGATATAGTGAATGCAGGGTCCGGGCGACCGGATGGGATATAGTGAAATGCAGGGTCTGGGCGAGAACGAAATATAGTGAATGCAGGATCAGTTGGGAGAGGGGATATAGTGAATCGCAGCGTCCGGGGAGACCGGATATAGTGAAATGCGTGGTCCGGGGAGAGGGTGGATATTGTGAATGTCCAGGGTCCGGGGAGATATGCGCCGGATATAGTGAATGCGCGGGGTCCGGGGAGACCGGATATAGTGAATGCAGGTCCGGGGGAGACCGGATTTATAGTGAATGCAGGGTCTGGGAGAACCACAATGTGGTCCGTGAATCGCAGAGGTCCGGGGAGAGCAGATATAGTGAATGCAGAGTCCTGGGGAGAGCAGATATAGTTAATGCAAGGTCCATTCCTTGGAGACCAGATATAGTGAATGCAGGTCCGGGGGAGACCAGAAATAGTGAATGCAGGGTCCGGAGAGAGTCGAACTATAGTGAATGCAGGGTCCAGGGAGAACCAGATATAGTGAATGCAGGGTCCGGGATATATAAGCGGATATAGTGAAATGCAGGGTCCGGGGAGAGCAGATAGTGAATGCGGGGTCCGGGGAGAGCGGATATATACACACAAAAAATGCGGGTATACCGGGAGACCAGATATATCTAGTGAATGCAGGTCCGGGGAGAGCGGTCCAAATATAGTGAATGAAGGGTCCGGGAGAGCAGATATAGTGAATGCAGGGTCCCGGGGAGAGCGATATAGTGAATGCAGGTCCGGGGAGACCGAGATATAGTGAATGCAGGTCCGGGAGACCAGGGGGATATATGTGAATGCAGGGTCCGGGAGAGGGGATATAGTGAATGCTTGGGTCCGGGGAGAAGGGATATAGTGAATGGCGGGGTCCGGGGAGACCGGATATAGTGAATGCGGGGTCCTAAAGGAGACCCAAATGTAGTGAATGCAGGGTCCGGGGAGTGCAGACGGATATTGAATGCAGAGTTCGGGTGAGAGCCAGATAGAGTGAATGCAAAGTCCTGGGAGACCAAGGATATAGTGAATGCCAGGGTCCTTAAAGAGTAAGTGAGACCAGTCCAACAATATAGTTGAAGTGCAGGGTCAGGGTAGAGGGATATAGTGAATGCTTTTTTTTTAGGGTCCGGGGTGCGAGCGGATATATGATTGCAGGGTCCTGCGGAGAGCGGAAATAGTGAGAATGAAAGGGTCCGGATGAGCGGATATAGTGAATGCAGGGTCCGGGGTGAGAGAGCGGATATTAGTGATGCAAGCACGTCCGGGGAGACCGGATATAGTGAATGCGTGGTCCCGGGAGAGGGGATATGTGAATCTCACAGATATGCCGGGTGAGAGGGATATATAAGTGAATGACGGGGTCCGGGGAGACCGGATATAGTGAATGCGGGGGTCCGGGGAGACCGGATATATTGAATGCGGGGTCCTGGGGAGAGACCAAATTAAATGACTATGCAGGGTCCGGGGTGAGCAGATATAGTGAATGCAGAGTTCGGGTTCAGATATCAGTTATATTGCAATGCAAGCGTGCCAGGGAGACCAGACTGGTCAATAGTGAATGGATGTGTGTCCGAGGTGAATAAGAACTGCTCCGGATGTAGTGAATGCAGTGTTGGTGTTGGTCGAGACAGTCCATATAGTGAATTCAGGGTTGGGGAGAGCAGATATAGTGAATGCATGGGTCCTGGGGCTCCAGATTTAGTGAATGCAGGGTCCGAAGGAGAGCAGATATAGTGAATCGCAGGGTCCAGGGGGAGAGCGGATATTAGTGAATGCAGGGGTCCTGGAAGACCGAATAGTAATAGTCCGAATCAGGGTAATATTATGGAGACCAATATAGATGAATGCAGGTCCGGGGAGACGGATATAGTGAATGCCAGGGTCCAGGGGAGACCAGATATAGTGAATGCAGGATCTGGTAGAGGGTATATAGTGAATGCAAAAAGGCGTCCGGGGAGACCGGATATATGTGAATGCGTGGTCCGGGGAGAGGGATATTGTGAATCGGGTCCGGGGAGATGGGATATAGTGAATGCGGGGTCCGGAACGATATACCATGATCCCGTATAGATGAATGACAAGCGGGTCCTTCTTGGACCGGAATATATAGGTCCGAAATGAATGAGGGGTCCGTATAGGAGTCACAGACAATGCTCCGGCAGTGAATTGCAGGGTCCAGGGGAGAGCAGAATATAGTGAATGCATCAATATAGTTCATGGGAGAGCGATATATGTAATCGGCCTGGGAGGACCAGATATAGTGAATGCCAGGGTCCAGGAGACCTATATAGTGAATGCAGGGTCCGGGGAGAGCCGCGATATAGTGAATTCAGGGTCCGGGCGAGACTGCGGATATAGTGAATGCACGGGTCCAGGGAGAGCGGAAAATAGTGAAAATCGGTCCGGAGACGATTTATATTTACTAAATAATCGAGAGTCCATGACAGTGTGTATCCGGGAGACAGAGTCCGAGACGATATAGTGGAATGCAGCGGTCCCGGGAGCTCCCGGATATAGTGAATGCAGTGGTCTGGGGGGGGGGGAGGGGGATATTGTGAATGCAGGGTCCGGGAGAGGGTGATATAGTGAATGCGGGGTCGGGGAGACCGGGATATAGTGAATGCGGGTCCGGTGCATAATGGAGACTCCGGATATAGTGAATGCGGGGTCTGTGGAGGACCAAGATGTAGTGAATGCCGCGGGTCCGGGGAGAGCAGATATAGTGAATGCAGAGTCCCGGGGAGACCAGATATAGTGATGAATGCAATGCGTCCTGGGTAGACCAGATATAGTGAATGCACAGGGGTCCTGGGAGACCAGATATACGTGAAATGCAGGGTCCTGGGCGGAGAGCGATATAGTGAATCGTCAGGGTTCGGCGGAGGGAGAGAATATAGTGAATGCTGGGATTCGGGATAGCAGATATAGTGAATGCAGGGTCCTTGGGAGACACCAGATATAGTGAATGCAGGGTCCGGGGAGAGATATATAAGTGAATGCAGGGTCCGGGGAGAGCGCATATAGTGAAAGCAGTGGTCCTGGGCGAGACCGGATATAGTGAATCAGATCCGCAGGGTCTCATGAATGCTCCAACATATACTGAATGCAGGGTCGAAATAGTGGCATGCATCCGGAGACATAGAGTGAATGTCCGGGTCTGGGTGAGAGGGGATATATGTGAATGCAGGGTCCCGGGGAGAGGGGACATATAGTGAATGCGGGGTCCGTGGATGAACCGATATAGTGAATATGCGGGGTCGCGGGAGACCGGATTATAAGATCTGAATGTGCGGGGTCCGGAGAGACCGATATAGTGAATGCGATCCGAGAGGTCTAAGGCGACCGATCAAATGGTAGTTGAATCCTCAGGGTCACGGGGAAGAGTAAGTGAGTCGAACATATAGTGAATGCAGATGTTCGGGGAGAGCAGATATAGTGAATGCATGGTCCTGGGAGACCAGATTATAGTGAATGCAGGGGTCCATGGGAGAACAGATATAGTGAATCTCCGGATGCAGGGTCCGGGGAGGAGCGGAGATATAGTGAATGCAGGGTACCGGTGAGAGCGATTATATAATGAAATGCTCCTGGGAAGCGGGAAATATTGAAATGATGGGTCCGGTAGAGCGGATATATGCGTGAATGCAGGGTCCGGGGAGAAGCGGATATGTGTAGTTGAATGCAGAGTCGAGTCCGGGGGAGACGGATATAGAGAATGCGTGGTCGGGGAGAGAGGCGATATCCAGTGAAGATATAGGGTCCGGGGAGCGGGGATATAGTGAATGCGGGGTCCGGGAGACCGATTATTAGTGAATGCCGGGGTCCTGGGAGACCAAATGTTAGTGAATCAAACAGGGTATCCGGGCGAGAGCCAGATAGAAGTGAATTGCAGGAACGTTTCGGGGGAAGAGCAGGATAACAGTGGAATGCAAAGGTCCAAGAGGGAGACCATACGATATAGTGAATGCAGCTAAAGGTCTTGGGAGACCAGATATAGTCGGTCCGAATGCGGGTAACCGGGAGGAGAGCAGATAATAGTAATGCAGGGTTCGGGGGAAGCAGATATAGTGAATTGCAGGGTTCGGGTGGAGAGCAGATATTGTGAAATGCTCGGGTCTGGAGAGACCAGATATAGTGAAAGACAGGGTTTCCGGGGAGAAAGCAGCATATAGTGAATGCAGGCGTCCGGGGAGAGAGGATATAGAGGGGGGGGGGGGGGGGGGGGGGGGGGGGGTGAATGCAGGGTTCCCGGGGAGGCACCGGCTTATAGTTGAATGCAGGGGTTCATGGAGCCCCTGGATATAGTGAAATGCTAGGGGTCCGGGAGAAGACCGGATTTAGTGCACTGCAGGAGGGTCTGGGGAGCACCTAGATATAGTGATATGCAGGGGACCTGGGGGAGAGGGGATATAAGTGAATGCAAGCGTTTCCGGGGGAGAACGGATTATAGGGAATGCGTGGTTGCGGGGAGAGGGGGGATTATTGTGAAAGCAGGGTCCCGTGGGAGATGGGATAATAGTTGACTGCGGGGTTGCCGCGGAGACCGGATATAGTGAAATGCGGGGTCCGGGCGAGACCGGGTGTATAGTGAATGTGCGGGGTCTGGGTAGAGCCAATATGTAGTGAATGCAGGGTCCGGGGAGAGCAGATATAGTGAATGCAGAGTTTCGGGGAGAGAGCAATATAGTGAATGCAAAAGGTCATGGGATACCATATGAATAGTGAATTCAGGGTTCCTGGTAGATACCTGAATTTATAGTGTATGCAGGGCTTCGGTGAGAGTAGGAAAACAGATATAGTTGAAATGTCCTGGTTCGGGGAGAGCAGACTATAGTGAATGCAGAGGGTCCTACGGAGAACCACAGATATAGTGTAAGGCTAGGGTCCGGGGGAGAGCAGATTAAAGTGAATCGCAGGTCCGGGAGAAGCGGATATAGGGGAATGGCCGGGGGTCCGGGGAGACCGGATATAGTGAAATGCAGGGTTCATGGAGGACCAGATATAGTGAATGCAGGGTCCGGGGAGACCGGGATATAAGTGAATGCAAAGTGTCTTGGTGAGGACCAGCTATAGTGAAAGCATGGTCCTGGGAGAGGTGGATATTAGTGAATGCAAGCGTCCGGGGGGGAGATCGGATATAGTGAAATGCAGGGGTCCGGGGAGAAGGGAAGAGAGATATAGAGAGTAATGCAGGGTCCTGGAGAAAGGGGATATAGTAAATGCAGGGTCCGGGGAGAAGGGATATAGGTGACTTGCCGGGTCGGGGATACCACAATGTAGTGAATGCAGGGTCCGGGGAGAGCAGGGATATAGTGGATTGCAGGGTTCGGGTGAGAGCCAGATATAGTGGAATGCAGGGTCCAGGCGAGACCAGATCTAGTGAAATTCATTGTCCAGGGAGAAGCAGATATAGTGAAATCAGGGTACCGGAGAGAGCATGATATAGTGAATTATACGGGGTCGGGGAGAAGGTAGCGGAATTATAGAGAAAGCAGGGTTCGTGGAGACCGGATATAGTGAATGCAAGGGTTCATGGGAGGACCTGATATATTGAATGCAAGTGTTTCCGGGAGAGACCAGTATATAGTGAATTGCAGGGTTGGGGAGAGGGGATATAGTGGAACTTGCAGCGACCGTGTAGGACCGGATATAGTGACTGCAGGGTTCCTGGGTAGAAGTGATATAGTGAATGCAGTGTCCAGGGAGAGAAGGCGATATAGTGACTTGCAGTGGTCCGGGAGCGATGGCGACTATAGTGGAATGCCTGGGGTCCGGGCGAGACCCGGATGATGGATATAGTCGACTCGCGGGGGTCCGGGGAGACCTGGATAATAGTGAATGGGGGTCCTGGGGTGAGACCAAATGTAGTGAATGCATGGTGCCTGGGTGAGAGCAGATATAGTGACTGCAGAGAATCGGGGATAGCAGATTATAGTGAAATGCAAGGTCCTTGGGGAGACCAGATATAGTGAAAGCATGGGTCTGGGAGACCAGGATATAGTGAAAATGCTAGCGGTCCCGGGGAGAAAGATATAGTGAATGCAGGGTTTCGGGTGAGTAGCAGATATAGTGAATCGCAGGGTCCCGGGAGACCAGATATAGAGTGAATGCAGGGTCCGGGTACGAGCCGA